GTTCCATTGGGGGGAAAAAGAAAGTATATAAACATAAATATTTTGTTATAGTCAATATTGATGAGGGTTAGAAAACCATTAATATACTGAGATCTCAGATCATTTACTTACCTAGAGGAATGCATTGAGGTGGTGGGAACCAGCCATCCTCTGTACAGGTCATTACAGTCTGCCCATTTTCAAGACTGTAACCAGAATTGCAGGTAACATTTACAGATTCACCTTGTAAATGTTCCACTACTCGATTTGGAGACTCTCCATTTTGCAAACGATCAAAAATACATTGTCCTAAAAACGAAGAAAATAATAACAAAAGTATTTTAAATCAATAAATTCTGTGAAAATAGCAAATTAAAAATTATTTGTACAAAATTTAAACTAGAATGCATATATATCCAAAACTAAGGCTACTACCGAATGTTGAAATAAGTCAATGTTCAATATCATTTATCTTCAGTTTTATAATTATGTATAAATGTAGATATAAATATAAATGTAGATATTTTCATAAAGCCTCAATCTTTATCGATAGTGTGATTTTTATGAAGAAATCTTCATAATAGGAAAAACTTATATTGGTAGTTTTGCTCATAACATTCATCCTTTGGCCTTATTTTCGTCATACGAAGCCTAATAGTATTCACTTATGTGTTTTCCCCCTCGACTACTTGAAACATTTATAAATATACTATTATATAATATAGGTTACCTACTGCGGCATGGTACTGCTGGTGACCATCCTTCTCGTGTGCAATAAATATATTCCCAGTGCTGTTTTGAAACAGTCACAAAATTGCGATGACACGAATAGTAATATCTGCTCCCTACAGATACTGGAAAGTCTCGTCTATAGTAAGATTCATAGTATAGACTTCCATGTTTTATTTCTGGAAAATCACAACGATTCCCTTGCAATAAAAACAAAATAAACAAAAACAGTATGAATGATGATATACCTTCAGAAAAAAAAAATAAATGGGAAATGAATTATTTCATTGATGAATTACATCCTCTTATTAAGCAATATTTTCACTCATTGCATCTGGCTTCCTGGGACAAGAAAAGTTGTAAATTTTAGATGACTGGGATATGTGATGAAGTTATTGTTAATGAAGTTAAAATTATATCTTGTGAGTTATATGATATATAAACCTGGATGAAGATTCTTGAGGCATAAAACTCTATCGAT